CCAGCCCCTCACTAGCTTTCCTCACCCTCGAAGACCCCCCTCTTTGAAGTGGCCTTCTACCTTCCACACCCATTTCTGCCCCCTCCTTGGTCTTTCTTGCCACCCAAGAGCCCTCTCTCCTGACTCACCAAGTGCATAGGTCCTTTAGCCACCCCTAACGGTACTCTCTGAGAAGTCCCTGCCTGGGACCCTGCCACAGTCCCCTCTCCTGTGTATGTGACTCAGGTTCCTGCCTCTGATACCTCTCTATTTTCTTTCTAGTCTTCTCTTTCTCTTTGTGTCACTATGATTTTTATGGGCTAAATGTTTTGATTTACAGGGTTTGGGGGTGGGTTTTGTTGTTCTTAAATGCTTAGATTGGCCCATCTTTGAGTCAGATGCAAGCAGAGGCAGAAAGATCTCTGAATCTAAGGCCAGCCTGGTCTAGATAGTTCCAGGCTGGCCAAAGTTACACAGTGTAAACCTGTTTTTTGGGACGCGGGCAGGAGAGATGGCTCAGACTCAGAGATAAAGAACACTGGCTGCTCTTCCAGAGGTCCCAGGTTCAATTCCTAGTATCCACATGGCAGCTCCCAACCATCTGTTACTCCAGCCCAGGGGATCCAACACTCTCTTCTGGCCTCCAAGGGCCCTCCATGCACACAGTACACAGACATGCATGCCTAGAAAACACGCATACACGTAAAATAAAAAAATGATTTTTTAATGAAATGAAAAATTATTTCATCTCTGGCTAATGGGAGCCACTTCAGGCTGGGTGCTGCAACCCTGATGGTCTTTGATCTGATCCAGACTGGATTGCTCCTTCCCGGCCCCAGCCCTGGGACAGCTGTTTCTCCAGGGAGCCCTCCATTCTTTCTGTAAGGAATGACTCCAATCTGACCAAAGACTGGTTCTTTGAGGTCACTCAAATAATAAAGCGTCTACTTACAGAGTAAGGGAAGAGACTATTATTGACAACCAGGAGAGACGTCACCCTCGACTCCATGGTGACTAAAAGGCTCTCGAGAGTATTGGGGATAGTCAGAGATCACAGTCTGGTTTCAGGGGTGCTCACTGCTGCAGGGTCTGTGGTGGCTTCCCCCCCCCCAACTGAGTTCTTGAGACCTAGGGTGGGAAACAGGCTCTGAGAACTGATTTCCTGGATTCAAGTCCTAGTTGAAATGCTTTCTGCCTCAACAACCCTGTGCAAACTATCGCTATCCTCCTGAGGCTCAATTTCCTCCTTAGGACAGTGTGCTAAGAGTGAGGATATAGCTGTAGAGTGCTTCCTTAGTACGCATGAAGCCTTGGGTTCTAGCCCGGCTCTGGATAAATCTGGGCATGCTGGTGTGTATCTGTAATCTCAGTGCTAGGAGAGGTAGAGCCAGGGAGATCAGATCATCCTCAGCTACATAGTGAGTTCAAGTCCATCAGGGAATACATGAGACTCGGTCTCAAAAAGAAAAGACTTGAAATGGGAATAATGATGGAGCCACCTGATAGAGTCATGAAAGTTAAGTGAGCTAGCACTGGGCTGAAAACTGTGACTCAGCTGTAGAATCCCTGCCTAGAATCCCCCAGTGAGGGGCTGGGGGTGTGGCTCAGTGATAGAACCCCTGCCTAGAATCCTCCAGTGAGGGGTTGAGGGTGTGGCTCAGTGATAGAGCCCCTGCCTAGAATCCCCCCAGTGAGGGGCTGGGGGCGTGGCTCAGTGGTAGAGCCCCTGCCTAGAATCCCCCAGTGAGGGGCTGGGAGCGTGGCTCAGTGGTAGAGCCCCTGCCTAGAGTCCCCCAGTGAGGGGCTCAAGTATGTAGCTTAGCAGTATTGTGTTTGTGTAGCCTGCTCAAGGTTCTGGGTTCCATTCTAGTACCACACCCCAAATATGAGCTGGTGCAGTATCTGGCTTATACTTAACCCTGTTTCTTTCTCGTGTCCAAGGCTTCTGTTGACTTGGGTGCACCTAGGTCACCTCTGCAGCCTCATGTCTCATCCTTCTGATTTTGTGTCCCTACCAGACCAATTCTCAGCTCCCAGCACCCAAGAGCCTTTGGAGCCTTGGGTCTTTGCACATGTCAACCTCTGTCCAAGACCTGTTGTCTTGCCTGTCCTTCATAAAGAAGCTCAGGAGTCACCCTTGCCCTGACCTTTGCTGACCCTGTGATCAGCATGCCTGCCCCCATGCCTGGAATTTTGCAGGCATCATTAAGTGTTGGGTGCCCAGGTCCTCAGTTGGGGGCTCTGCCTCTATGGCTCCTTTCTTGGGCTCCTGCAGCATGGAGTGAAAATATGTCCGACAATGGGCGTGTGAGGTAATGATGAGTGGATTTGGAGAAAAAAAACAGAGTTTCTTTGGCTGTGGGACCTTTTGAGATAGGGTCTTACATGTTGCACAGGCCAGCTTGGAACTTGTGATTTTCCTGCCTCAGTTTCCCAAGCGCTGGCATTACGGTTGGTATGGATTCGACCCTGTCCAGCTCAGGGATGCGTCTGGCCCCTCCCGCCACGCAGTTCCGGCCTTTCCTTTGTTTCCCTTTTTGTTTTCTGCCTTACTTTCCCCACAGACTAGCCCCTCTCCCTCTCCCCATCCATCACCGGGTTCCGCTGCTCCCCGGCCTGTCTCTGGTCATTCCCTACCAGTCTTCCATGATGTCCCCTTGTCTTCCTGCAGGTCAGCTCTCCACCCTGTAGTCTCCTTGGGTAACC